AAAAATTTGGTTGGCCCTTGAGACAATCTAGATTAGTTTCTTTCAACAAAGGATGTACTTTAGAATTATCTGAGGATGTTTTACAGTTACAAATGCTAGGGCCAACTTCTAAAACAGTCTCTCTGGGTGATTCTGATGGAAACCTGGATAACCTCTCCTACTTTTTTAAAATGTACTTTTATTGTGGCATTGATAGATATTATTTTGCCTTACAATTTTATGCAAGGTGAACTTGCTTTCAAATGTTCATCTGGGCATCACAGATGCTCCTCAACTTACCATGAGGGTACATCCTGATAAACTCGTAATAAATTGAAAATACCATAGGTCTAAAGTTCACCTAACTTGCTGAACATGATAGCTTAACACAAAGTCTGTTGTATWAAAAAAGTGTTGAATATCTCACAAACACACACGGCTAGGTATCRTGTAGACATGATTAGATGCTAAAACACAAAACACAATATCCCTCCAACCCTGGCAACACAGTATCCTGTAGAATATTGGTTGTTTGACCAATAATCTCAAGTTTSACAGGAAAATGCAGCTCAATGCTGATGCTGAGCATCAATGAGAGAGTATTGGAATGCAAATCACTAGCCAAGGAAAATATTATGATTCAAAATTTAAAGTATGGTTTCTACTAAATGTGTGTCCCTTTCACACCATCATAAAGTCAAAAACTATAAGTCATGGGTTGTCTTACATGAATAATAAGAAAATTTACGGGGCATTTATTCACCATGTGGCTGCCATAGTTTAAATATGGTTTGTCCCCTCTAAAATTCATGTTGAAATTTGACTCCAAATATAATGGTGTTTAGAAATGGCGAGACCTTTCAATAGTGGCTATGTTATCAAGAAGGACTGATGGATTTTTTGCAGAACTGGATTCATTCTCATAGGAGTGGGTTGCTATAAAGTAGGTCAGCCACCTTTGTCCCCTCTGCTCTTCTGCACATGCTGATTTATCTTCTACTTTCTATCATGAGTTGAAGCACCACAAAGCCCTTTCTAGATACAGCAGCCTGACCTTGGACTTCCCAGCCTCCAGAACCATGARCCAAATGAATTTCTTTCCTTATAAATTACCCAGTCTCGAGTATTTTGTTATAGYAACATAAAGTGGACTAAGGTAGTAGCCTACTCGTATGGRTCAGAGTGAAAGGKTAAAGTTTCTAAGCTGGAAAGCTTGAATGTAAAAGATTAGGTATTATTAAGTTCCTCTGTTACACCCAGATTCCTGAGATAGTTAAGACAACACCCTACTGGCCATTTAGCCTAGGGCCCTGTGCAGTTCCTCACAGGGCCTGAACCAATCAGTTTGAATGTGTAACCCGCTTACGAATGACCAATCACCCTCGCCCACCAATGAATGTGCCAATCACGTCTCAGAGTTGTTGTTCAATTTCCCCGTGCCTCAT